TCCTACGACAATTATTCACAATCTCATTTAGTATATATTCTTTATTATGCTCTGCTGTTTCTTTTTTTTTTATTTATTTGCTTCTTTTTTTTAAGGTACGTCAATGCTAGAAATTCATTCATTGCTCTAATCAGACGGCAGCCTTATAAAGCATCTATATGCTAAATATAATATATACTATAAACTATATAGAAATGTTGTTCTTGTTGTTTATAGCAGCTGCCGCAGAGATAAGCACAAACCCAGAAAATTGGGTCGCAGTTGCTATAAAGCAGTTAGACATTTGTTGTATTCTTTTTTTTTTAAACAATTTTTTTTTGTGGCGTCGTTAATAATTTTTATATTTATTTTTTTTTGTTGTATCTTTTTGCTTGCAAACCAATTTCTTGTTTAGACTGACCTCAAAACAAAAAGAGAAACATAGAAAGAATAACAAGAAACAACAGCTAATTGAGGCAAGCACAAATTTGGATACTCTTTCAGATCAGAGAGTCTATAAATTTATAAGAAATTTAAGGAAACTTAATATTATTCATAATTCGATCGTTTTTGTTGAGTTAGCTTGGTAAATAGGACAATTTTTCAAACAAGAAGTCAACTTTTGAGCGATTATTTCTATGATTATTCTTCCAATACTACTTTGATTTGATTTGATATTTATTTTTAGCTGAATTAGCTTCGTAAATAGAAAATATAATATAAATGCAATATAGTTATCCAATTCATAAATATTGACTTTTGAATTCAGAGTTTCCTCAACATGGATATAAATATATCGCCAGCATTTATCATTCCGGTTACAATTAAATACACAGCTTGATGAGCAGATAAAAACTCCCCCATTTTTTGGAAGGGTATAACAAATTGAGCATGTCGCTTGTTGTTATTTTTATTTAGGCGTTGCCAAAAGGCGACAGGTGCGTTCTTCTATATATTACTATGCTACAGTTTCTATATACTCTATATACTCTATATATATATATATATTTCCATGCTGACGGTGGCATTTTGTCAAAATTCTATCTTGAAAGGCCAACAATGCTTTTGATTTTGTTTTTGCTTTTTTTTGTCAAGCATGTCAAATTTGAAAGCTTGTTGTTGTTGTTGCTGTTGGGTTTGCTTTAGAGCCAATTATGTGCGCTATTATGGCCAAATTCTCATGTCACTCAATGCATAAAGGCGTTCGTGAAATACTTTCACAAATTAGCGGCGTCGGTTGGCTACCCAAGTCTTATTTTAATTTGTATTTTTACTTAAATTCTCTATTTGCATTTTGCTAGCCTCAACTATCGCTGTCTCTCTCTCTTTTTTGAATTGGCGCCCACCCACTTCGAATTCGGTGCATAATTATAGCAAAAGGCTTCTTGTCGCCTGCAATTAACGTTGCCGGACTTTGAATGCTGCTGGACGCTCTATCTCTCTATCTCTCTCGCTCGCACACAAACTTCCCGCCTTTCGGTTGTCAGTTGCGTTTAACTTGATTTATGCTTTGAAGCTGTTGTGTGGTCTCCGCTGTGTTTTGGCTGTTTTTACACGAAATGGCTTTTTTTCCTTTTTGGCTTGATAAGCAGACAACTAGCGATAAGCAGCAACGGCTCTATATATATACATATATATATAGATGTTTGTGTGTGTGTGTGAGTTGTTTATTTGTGTTTTCAGTGACATCATTGTAAACTCAAAATTTGTGGTTAAGGTACACACACACACACGCTGCTCTTAATTGGTTTCACGAGGCGTGGAATTCTGTTGAAATTTTATTAATTAGACCATTTTTCAAAGTATGTGTTGATCACAAGCAGCTTTTGTCTGCCAACAATCCTCTCTTTAAAAATGAGACAGACTTTTACAAAGCCAGTGTTGATCACAAGCAGCTTTTGTCTGCAGTCCATACACTCTTGGCAGAGTAAGCGAGTTAAATAGACGCACGTGTGCGAAGCTTATCGCAAACAAGGGCAAAGGTTACAACGCACCCAGCAATAAGTATTTTCGTGGAATAATGGAAATAAATCAATTTCCTGTTGTAAGCACTTGAGTCATCAGACAGACAGACAGAGAGAAAGAGAGAGAGAGAGCAGTTCCAACTATTAACGAAAGGTAGCTTCAATTGGCATTTCCGCTCGCAGCAGCAGCCGCATGACGAACACAAATAATAAAAATAAAAATGCATAAGAATCTCTCGCTGACGCATGCAACAAGAGCAACAAAAAAAATTACACTGTTTGTAGATTTACCTTTTGTGTGTGGCTGCCATTTTGGTTTACATTTAATTGATAACAATAACAGCAGCGACAACAACAACAACAATAACAGAGCATGTTAATAATGTCCACAAATGTGCTTAAGCGCAGAGGTGAACAAACACGCACACACACACAGAGCGATAGTGAGTGAGAGGGAGAGCGCGTAACTTCACTGCGATAACGTGATTTGCTTTGTGTGAGCGCAACAGGTAGCGAGCCATAACTGTAATCGTAGCCATGTTAAGTTGTTCGTGCATGTCGAAACTCGTTCGTTTTGTGCGGCACCTGCTTGCTCGCTCGCACTTGCAGATGCAAATGGCTGCCGTGACGCCAACGACAGGTAAAACAACAAGCCCACTCTCCCTCACCCCAACCCCACTAATAAGCAGCGGAAACGGAAATTTATGTTGCCAGCTCTTCCGCTGCGCCACCAGCCGTTGCCAGCCGGCGATAAAAAAAATACATCCATCAAATTGTAGTTTGAAAGTTTTTTCATGAAAACAAAACAAATCAATATTCCCAATATTGTTGTTTTTTTCCTTGCGAGTTAAATAAACAAATTAGACCGTAATTATGGGGCATGTATTTTTTGTATTATTATTCTTATTTTCTTCACCACTTGCTATACAAATAAACACAGTTAATGTAAAAAACTAATTAGGCTGAAGAATTTTTTTCTGCTCTGCTTTTATTGTGATCTCATTTTGTGATGAGCATAAATTGGTTTTGTGTGTGACTAATAACTGGTCACACTTAAAAAGCGCCTTTAATTGAAATTCATGCAAAGCCGCTGACTAAGAGAGTGACCCAGCGATAGATAGAGAGAAGTCAATTTAATACTCCATAGCATACAAAAGAGAGTGCGAGCAGTACGGAGAATAACAGTGACAGTGACTGCTAAAAGTATGCGCACACAGACACAAAACACATTAAAAATTGATCGCTGATAATGCCATGAACTTTTACAGCTATAACAATCAATCGCAATTTTTATTCATTTATTTATAAAGAGCAAACAAATATGTTGAGGTGAGCTGCAAAATGCATCGTTAAAAGTTCAATGGCTCTGCAACGGTAAACAGAAACCACAACTGCGGGAGAGGCGGGGGGAACAACACGTGTTGCCATCTGTTGGGAGGGGCCAAAGTGAAAGTGGCGCAAATCTTTCAGCACGCTGGCTAAGTGGAATCAGCCCGTCAATCACTTTTGGACTTTTCAATTTTGCTTTGCTTTCATTGCACACCTTTTTTTCAGAGCAGCAGCAACAACAAAGTTGCATTTGATGCGTTCAATTTGTTGCCAAACAAAATGCAAAGACAAACAAACGCATTCAGCTTTCTGTTGATTAGCATCAGCTGTTGAAACAATTCTCGTTTTCGACTTGATTTGTCTTACGTTTTAATTCTATTTTTCCACGTCTTCTCGCTTTTGTTTATTTCTTCACTTGCCGGCGTTTGTTGTTGTTTATGTTTCGATTTCTTATTGGCGCTTTGTCGCAATATTTCCGATGATTGAAGTTTTTTTTTTTCATCATTCCGCACTTTTTATTGCTTTGCTTTGATTTGCGTTAGTGAGTTATTACAACTGAAAGCTGCTTGCTATGTCACTCCTAATTTTCCTTTTTGTACTTTACTTCACTTGTTGCCCGTGTTTTGTTTCAATTATTATTTCGTGTTGGGCGCGCTCTGCTTTTTATAAAAATAAGCTCTTTTAATCAGGCAAAATAAAGTTTTAATTCTAAACACAAGAAAAATATACACACACGCATACAAGTTATTAGCAGAATTTTTTGGTTTGCGGTTTTGCTTTGTGCGCCTTTTGAAAGAAATGAAAAATCCGTTTAATTTCAAACAAGTCGGAAAAACAAATAAATACATACAGCATTTCTTGTAGTTTTAAACAACTTTTATTACCTGAGCGTCGTCGATGCATGTGTGTGTGCGTGTGTGTGTGTGTTTTGCACAATGTGCGTTGCTCAAACGCACAAAAAAGCGCACAATAAAATAGCAGAAGAAGAAGAAGCACAACAACAACAACGACAATGTCAGCTGCTGGTGCGCAATTGACAGTTGTCGTTTTAAACAAGGTAAAGCGCTTGACGCAGACGCAAGTGTGAGCGAGACGTCAAATACAGTTAAGATTAGCTGTAGGCGAATTTTTATCTCCGATCGAAAAAATGTGAAATGAAAATATTTATAATTTAATTTTTATAAACATTTATGAGAATACAGTTAATTACACTTGTAAACAGTTGCGTAAGCATCGCTCGTTTATTTGTATTTTATAATTTTAATATGCAACTCAACTATATATTTTGCTTATTCTACATGAATGAAACACAGCAGCCAGCAGCGGGAAGAACCCATTACGAACTCGATTCGTATTCTATACTTTTGTAGGCGATGCAGGGCCATTCACTAATTCGCTGCTGGGCACTTGCAGATTTGATCCATTCCCGTTATTATCGCTCACTCACTAGCAGAATACCGGGAAGAATGCTCATAGGCAGTTGAACAATAATTTGTAAAACATTTTAAACAATTTAATATACAATTAAGTTGCGCAACTCGTCTCTAATTTAAAATTTTAATATTGTCATTAAATATTATACATATTCCCACTATTTCTGTTCACTCTCTCACGAGCAGAATACAGGGAACAATACTATGAAGGGAAATTAAATAGGTCTATTTAATGCATAATAATCCATATCTAGCACAAATTAATAGTTAATCGCATATTTTGCTCTCTTTGCAGACCTGCAAAATCTGCCACAAGACATTCGCGAATGTGTATCGCCTGCAGCGGCACATGATTAGCCACGATGAGTCCGCGCTGCTGCGCAAGTTCAAGTGCAATCAGTGCGAGAAGGCGTTCAAGTTCAAGCACCACCTGAAGGAGCACGTGCGCATCCATTCCGGCGAGAAGCCCTTCAGCTGCGACAACTGCGGCAAGCGGTTCTCGCACTCGGGCAGCTTCTCCTCGCACATGACCTCCAAGAAGTGCATCAGCATGTGCCTCAAACTCAATAACAATCGCCAGCTGCTCAAAACGCTGGACAAGAATGCCGAGCAACTGCCTCCGGTGAAGCGTTCGGCCTGCAAACAGTTGGTGGAACCAGTTCTCCCAAATCTGCCCATGAATTATTTTGCTGGCGATTCACAATCATCACCAGTCGGAGTCGGAGTTGGAGTTGGAGTTGCTGGTGGTGCTGCAGCTGCAGCTGCGCCTCCTCCTCCCTTTTATCCCAATTACAGCGCAATGAATGCGGCTCTGTTGGCATTTCCCAATGCTTTTATGGCGGCTGCTTTGGATCCACGCATTCATCCCTACAGCATACAGAGATTGCTGGAGCTAACAGCGGCAGGACAACAGCAGCAGCAACAGCAACAGAGGGAGCAGGAGGAGCAGCACAGGGAGCAGCAGGAGCTGAAGAGGGAGCAGGAGCGGGAGCAGGAGCGGGAGCGGGAGCAGGAGCGGGAGCGGGAGCAGGAGTTTGAAAGGGAGCAGGAGCAGGAGAGGGAGCAGCAGCTGCAAAGAGAGCACGAGCAGCAGCAGCAGCAGGCGCAGTTCGAGCAGGAGCGGAAGCGGGAGCAGTTGCAATTGCTGCCCAGCAAACAGGATGATTATGCAGAGGAGCCCAAGCTGGTCATGGATCTGGAACAGGATGCAGAGCACCTAAACAGCGCAGCAGCAGGAGGAGGAGCAGGAGCAGAAACGAGGACAGCTGTCAAAATGGAGATGAGTCGCGAGACAACGCCACAGCCCGTCGAAGCACTCACAGCCATCAAGCAGGAGCGGGAACAGGAACAGGAGCAGGAGGAGCAAATGGAGCTGGACATGCAGATGGATCTGGAGAAGGAACAGCAGGAACAGGAGCAGCAACAGCAGCAGCAATCCTCCCCCCAGTCAAGCACGGAACTGCGCTGCAGTCGCTGTGCCAAACAATTCAATCATCCCACCGAGCTGGTGCAGCACGAGAAAGTGCTCTGTGGCCTGATCAAGCAGGAGCTGCAACAGCAACAGCAACACTATCAACAACAGCAGCAACAACATCAGCAGCAACAGCAGCAGCAGCAGCAAGCTCCTCGCTCCGTTTCCGACTTCGATGACGATGAGGATGTGGAGGAGCTGCTGGAGGAGCCACGCCACGCGGACTACGCCGCCGGCAGCAGTGATAGCAATGAGCGCAAGGTGCGCGTCCGCACCGCCATCAACGAGGAGCAGCAGCAGCAGCTGAAGCAGCACTATGCCCACAATCCGCGACCAAGTCGCGACGAGTTCCGCCGGATTGCAGCGCATCTCCAGCTGGATGCGAGGGTTGTCCAGGTGTGGTTCCAAAACAATCGTTCGCGGGAACGCAAGCTGCAGAGCTATACAGGTGGCGGGGCTGGCAACACTGAGACAGCATTGCTTGCCAGCTCTGCTGCACTGCCTCCGACACGTGGCGAGGATCAGCCGCTGGATTTGTCGCTGAAGCGGGATGCAACGCCGCCTCAGTCGCAGCTGCAGCTGCCACCGGATTACAGCGAGGCCAGCATGGCCATCAATCTGAGTCGCCGCCAGTTGTCCAGCTCGACGGCGTCTGCCATGTCGCCGGCATCTCTCGCGGCGGCGGCGGCGGCCACTCTCTACTTTGCCCCACCCTCACCGACGGCGGGCCCCTTGCACAGTGCCACGCCCCCTTTGGGGGCACAGCGTGGCGCACCCTTTGCCGGCCTGCCGCCCTTTCCCATGATGGCCCGCCTGCCCATGGAGGCGCTCTTCCAGATGCGTCCGGGCGGTGAATACGCACCCAATCCACTGATGAACAGTATTAAATTGCCGGATTACCATCGCGGCACCAGCCTCAGTCCGGGCGGATCCGAGAAGCGCTCGTGGCGCGACGACGACTCGCGCATCTCCCACGAGGACGACTATGTCCTGGCCACGGGTGGTCTGCTGGCGCCGAAGCCGCGGCGTGCCAAGGCCGAGACTCATGGCCATGCCGGGGACCCCGATCTGCCCTTTGTGTGTGATCAGTGCGACAAGGCGTTCGCCAAGCAGAGCTCCTTGGCCAGGCACAAATACGAGCATTCCGGTAAGTAAGCACTGCAGCAGCACATGAACAGGGAAGGGCAAAGGGAAGTGCAAAATGAGAAATGAGAAAGGAAGGCATTTTAATTTTAGAAAATGGTTAGCCAACTTATTAATCAGAATATTATTTTCGAAACTGATGCTTTACTTTTGGCTTTCTGAAAACTACGCTTCGATTTTCAAAATTTCAGTGGGAAGTTTTCTAAAATTTCGAAAAAACTATGTCGAATTTCCAGGTGAATTGGAAGAATTCTTACATCAGCTTATTTTTTGAATAAACTTTAGTATTTGTAGACTTCGCAAACATTTTATATTGTTTAATAGATTCATATAAAAAAATTTGAAAAAACTTAACCATTTTTTAAGAGCGTTTTTCTTTTCATTTTGTTTTCGGCTATTAACTATTATTTAGGACGAGTGTAAGCTTGGCAGGTCAAGCTATAAAATTTAAAGTATAAATTTACTTAAATTGGGACTAGATTATTAAAATTTGGGGTTTTAGCACGCTTAGGAAATTTTTAGTCACAATTCTTTGTTAGGCTTAGAAAGATTCCCTAGCAAAAAAATCATACGGCTCAAAATTCCATCTCTCTCTTTCTCTTCCTCTCTCTCTGTCCTTCTTAGGAAGTAAAGAGAAAGAAAATAATCTTATAATCTGACAAAAGATTATTGATGATTGAAACTAGAAATATATTTTATAAAAATATTCAATTCAGAAAGAATTCAGAATTTGGATAGACAAATTTAGCAACAATCCAAAATTGAACAATAATTGAAAACGAATAATAATCTAAATAGTTTTGTATTAATTCATTAATTATTAATAGTCTTATTAATATTATTATTGATAGGATAAATGAAATAAATGTCTGATCCGAAATTGTTTCACTTTTTGATTATTTCACATTATTTCATTTCATCAAACAATAAAAATATAAATATATAATTGAATAATATAAATATAAATAGAGCAATGCAAGTGGAATTTTGTGCAGCTGAATTAATATTTATTTTTTATTTATGAACATCCTTCTAAGCAATTCTCGATTCTCAATTCTCATTGGAATTCTCTGTGATTGCAGGTCAGCGACCGTATCAGTGCATGGATTGCCCGAAGGCGTTCAAGCACAAGCACCACTTGACGGAGCACAAGCGATTGCATTCCGGCGAGAAGCCGTTCCAGTGTTCCAAGTGCCTGAAGCGGTTCTCGCACTCGGGGAGCTACAGCCAGCACATGAACCACCGCTACTCCTACTGCAAGCCGTACAGGGAATAGGTAAGCGACGCCTCAGTGCCGCCCACCTGCGTAGCCAGTGTCGCCCCGACGCCGCACGGCCAACGTGCTCAGCGTCGCGCAGCCAGCCAGGCCAGAGCCAACAGCAGCAGCCACAATCACAACAACCACCCCAGCAACAGCAACAATAGTTATCCACATCAGTTGGCTGCGATGGCGGCATTTCAGCAACACCAGCACCACCAGCAACAGCAGCAACAGCAGCAGCAGCAGCAACAGCAACGCTTCCAGCAACGTTTGCCCTGCTGGCCAACGCCAGTTGCTGGTGCCAGCAACAGCAACAGCAGCAGCAGCAATATGTTGCCGCCACCACACAGCAATAGTACAGTGCCTAAGCAAACCACACAACAACAACAACAACAACACCCACAACCAGCAACAGGAGCAGTTGGAGTTGCAGTTGGTGCACCACCACCTCTGCTGTCTGCTGCAGCGCCGCCTGGTTTCTTTGCCAGTCCGCTGCATCATCATGCAGCAATGATGGCACCACCACATCCGCATCCACATCCGCATTCGCATCCACATTCGCATCCACATTCGCATCCGCATCCGCATCCACCGTCCTTCAATTTCTTCAATGCCAAAATGTATGCGAGCCAAACAACTAACATAAGTCTAAACTAGCTACAGTGAACTAACGCTAACGCTAACGGTGCACTTAAATGCTGTACTTAAGAAAACCAAAAACAAAAACAAAAAACAGACGCAAAAATCTCAAATTGTGCAGGTACACAAAACAAGCAAAGAAATGTTAAAAAAAACAAAAAACAAAACAAAAACTGGCATATTTTTTATAGCAATTTATATATTTTTCCAAGCGTGTCAAGAAATGAGCAAAGAAAAACCTTTCGTTTGAGCGAATTTATTTTATTTTTATTTACGAATGTTTTGTAGTATTCTTTTTTTCTAAAAAATGAGTTGAAATCGTTTTTATTTCTTTATATATGTATCGATATATATATATATATATGTATGTATTTAGTTATATATTTTATACACATTCGGTTTGGTTTAGGTTTTAGTTTTAGTTTGTTTTGTAAGTGCTACAAATGCCAGTACCAAGTGCTGCGAAATACTCAAAGAAAAGCTTTGGGCTCTTTACGAGTTGAGCGACAAACGTCTTTAATATTCTACTAACTCTTATTATTATTTTTATATATATTAGAATACATTTAATTAGTTTGGTTTATTTGCGGAATAAATGTTTCAATTCAAGCTTAAAACCAGAAAATGAAGAGCAAACTCAACATTTTTCTTTTTGGACCAACAGCCAGCCAGCAAACGTTAACTTGACAATATCGTATTTAATTTAAAAAACAAACAATTTCGAATAATGCCGAGCTAGATGCTCTATCTCTCTCCCTCTCTCTCTCTCTCTCTCTCTCTCTCTCTCTCTTACTGTCTCTCTCTCTCCTTTTCTCTCTCTCTCTCTCGCAAAAGTATTAAACATCAGCCAAGTGTATTAAAGCCACAAATACAAATACCAAAAAAACAAAAATAAAAAAAAAGCCAACTTAATAAATTAAATGCCAAAAAAAAAACAAAAAGAAAAACAAAAAAGAAAAAAGAAAATGTAAAACTTATGTTAAATGAAAACCCACCGCTTGCTGCGCGTTTCAAACAAGAGAAATTACTCGAAAATAACCGATTTTCTTCGATTTCTTTTTTGTTTTGATTCATTTTGTATGAAAGTTACAAGTTATATAAGCTAAAATACTATATAATAATAATCGAATCGAACGAGACACCTATACGATCATTCCATTTAGCTGGAGTTGCCCAAGCAGAAGGTGCCCTCAAAATGCATTTAAGCCTTCCGCTTCGACTTCGAGCGAAAAACAACAAAAACAACAAAAACAACAAAAACACCACAAAAACAAACACAAATGATTTGTAAATGTAATGCTTATGCACTAAAAACAAAAAACAAAAAACCAAAAACAAAAAAAAAGAATCGTCAAGAAATTAAATTTAAATATTAATTATTAAAATAATATAAACAACATAAAGCTAAAGCGCAAAACAGAAAACTTAATTTGGCCTTATTAAACATTATTTAACAATTAATTAACGAATTACTTACAAGCAAGAAAAGAAAAACCCAATTCTAGTTTTAAGTGTGAAAAACAGTTAAAGAAGCAAAACCAAAACATAAATATTTAAATTTAGCATGTAAAGCAAAACAAAAACAAAAAACAATTTTGGAAAAGTCTCTAAAGAAAATTATTAGCAAATTTCAATGTGCGTATTGATGTAAAAAAAACCTCCTCTTAAACCCAAAAAAAAAAAAAACAAAAAATAAGAAAATCAAAAAACCCAACAACTATTAACATTAACTATTGAAAATGTTTACAAGGACAATAAATTTTCTAAATAAATTAGAATGCTTTCCCAAACTTTTGCTCCATTCAAATTCAATTCAAATAATTTACTCGCATAGCCATAAAAACAACAATAAAATACAAAAAGAAAAATGAAACAATTATAAAAGCTTATCACACAAAGAAAAAGGTTTCCAGAACAACGAAAATTTATGTTTAATGTTTATTATTGTTAAACACAAACACACAAAAACCTAAATCTAAATCTAAATTTTATTTAAAATTAAATTTTCTTTTGCTTTTCCAAAAGAGAAATCAAACAAAAAAAAGAAGAAAAACTCGAAAAAAATGCATTTATTACTTAATTAATTTTTATATTTGTATTCTTAAAACAGAAACCCAAAAACTCGATATATATATATATATATATATGATATATATATGTGTATATATATTTTGTAAATTATTTCGCAAGAAAAAAAGCTAGAGAATCCAAAAAGAAAAAGAAAAAGAAAAAAAGAAACGCGCCAAACTGTAATTGTTTCAAATAAAAAATAGAGACAGCACTCGTTTAGCATAAATTATACTATAATTGATAAATTAGACTAGTTAAACGTCTTTATAAATGTTAACTTACAACAACAACAAAACCAAAACAAAACAAAACAAACACAACAACTAACAAATAATTATATTTAAGCGCAAATATTTGAATTGTGATGGAGTTGGAGAAATGCCGGCGATAATATTTGCACTCTAGGGCCTTATATGAGATACACACACACACACACACACACATACACATTTACACTTAAACACTTGTTAGTTATTTAAATTAAGCCTAATTAAGATGCATGATGTGCGTCCCTTTTTAAGTTACCCTCCCCTGCAATCCACAAGCTCTTTTTCACTATCCTCTGTTAAAGTTGTTCGCCAAAGTTTTTATGTACATAAATCGATATATATATATGTATATATATATATGTGTGTATATATATATAAACAATAGCGTGAGAAATTTATACGCATACAGCTGTTGATTTTCGTGCAGTGTATGTGCTTGTATTATTATTCTTTTTCTTTCTGTTTTATGTTCAACAAACAAGAATCTTCAATGTTTTTTTTCTTAGTTATTGAGACGGGGCATCAAAAATGTTAATTGTATAGCAATATACAATACAAGTACACTTTGAGAAATAAACAACAATTTAAATAACTTATATTTCAAATATTACGCATAAATGTATTTTAATCAAAAGTAAGCAAAAACAAAACAAAAACAAAAAAAAACGGATAAAACATTTTTTGTCTTGATACATTTACAAAATTATTATAATTATTAAATTTACAATGTGAAAATAAAAAACAACAAAAAAAAACAAATTATTAAAATTTAAAACATTGTTTTGTTATTTAAAAGGGGAAAGATTTTTTAGTTGAGAGAATATACTAAATTGGACATAGAAGAACTGAGATCTGGATCAGATCATCTCCAGATCGGAAATAGAAACTTATTTTCTCCACGTGTGATTTCAGGAAGTATTAGTTGAATTTTATATTTAAATAGGAGTCCAGCGATGAGTCCCAGTTGATAATCATTTGATTAGCTTCCTAGAATTTCCTTTCGGATTTTTAGACTGCGACTGCTTTCCTGGACTCTCAACTTGTATCTTTTAATCCTTGCAGAGGATATTACAGGGAAAAGTTTACCTTTCTTTCTTATTATGCATTGCCGAAGGTTTTTTGTTTTTTGTCTTGAGGTTTATATCGTATTGAAGGATGCCTTTAAGCTTCTAGAATGCAGACTTCAAGAAAGAAATCGGAAGAAATTAATTTAACTTTAGATGAGTTTTCCAAAATTATAAAATAACAATGTGTGATACGTGGCAGCTCTCAGATACTGACTTGAGAAGGGTTCAAGATATTATAATACAATAATTCCATCAACATTAAACCAATTTTCAAAAACCAGGTCTTTTCTGCTATAGTCCACTCGGAACAGTGAATACTAACACGTTTTGAACATCAATTGTCCTCTAGAATGGTACTTAGTAACGGTGTTCCAGGTAAAAACTAATGTTAAGATTCAATCCAAAAAATAGCAGTGGGAAATGTTCAAAATTATCGAATGTTTAACGATTAGAATTTTCCCAATTCAGCGCTTTTTGTTCATGATTTGACCCGCAGATTAATAGTAAATTTAAAATTGGAAAACCGGAAATCATGTCAAAATTTTATTCTAAAAAGCAATAAGATTTGATTCCAAAACAAAAGCAGTGGCAATTAATCAAAACTTTCCAGTGACATATCTCCATCAAAAGTGAGCTTATGCTCAAAAATCCGGACTTCTTTTGAGGATTTTGATGAAACTTTCCTTTCCTTTTAAATTCTCTGAAAGTGTATTTTAAAAATGTTAAGTCCAGAAATAATGTGCACTTTCCAATCCAAGATATAATAGACATGGGTTTTAAGATTTTTTACATATTTTGCTTTCCATTTATTGATGTGTGTTATTGTAAATTAATTGGCCAAGGCACGCGCAGTGTTATTTTTGTTTTTTGTTTGTTTTTTTTTTGTGGTTTTTGTTGTTTAATTTTTCGATTAAGTTGTTGTTCCTCTCGCATTGAAAACAAACTCGGGCTAATGAAACAAAGGTAAGTATTACTATATATAGTAAGTATATATCGAAACAGATCGCATTACCAACGAGAACTTACAATAAAAAAAAAACAAAAAATGTGTTTATGTACTTTTTGCTTCGACATGAAAATTACACTAAATTATTGTTAGCGAATTATAAACTAAAAAACATCTTAGCGCTAAAAATAATGTATTGCATATATGTAAAAACTATCAATTAAATTTCTTTTACAATTCTCTTTTATATAATATATAATATATGTATAATTGTATATGTATATGTATAGATATAGATTTTTTTGTTTGTTTGATTTGATTTATGTATATTTTCTTATAGCATTTTTACTGTTGAACATTAGATAAAAAACAATTTCATTTGGCATTCAACAAGTTGCTCTAACATTGCTATATACGCAGCTAGATTAATTTAATATATATATATATATATATATGTATATATATAGTTTGTATAGAATCTATACGATAGATACATTTTAGTTTGTTCTTTCTTTTTTTTTGGGATGGGGGGAAGGGGTTTTTGATTGTAGAACGAGCACTGATAATAGGCGTGATATATAGAATTCATTCATAAGATTATAATAGTTATTGTATAGATTAGGCTTATAAGACCCGCTTATATCGCTAACTTGGTGCGATGCTCTGCGCGCTGATCATTTGATTGATTTGATTGATCAATCGCACAAATTGAATTGTTTTTGTTTTTTGTTTTTGTCAAGCTAAAGTTTCAAGTCTCGCCCAATGGCCAGAAACTAATCAGCCTGCTGAAATAGTTGCCATCGGCGTTAACATTGTAAAAAGTGGTCCAGTGAAAGTGTTTCATTTTTTCTTTTTGTCTAGTTTTAGTTTAAATTCGCTTCTTTTGCAATCTTCTATCTTTTTATTTTTTTTTGTCAAGGCACATAGTATGTGTAGGTATAGCTTTTATTTTTGATTTGAGCACCAGGAAATTGGTTTAATTGCTTTCTCCAAGTCTATATATAAATTTAAACATGTATATAGGTATATAGGTATATATAGATACAGATATTCATTCCATTGCCATCGTTCATCATAATAACGTACATAACTATTTTGTAATATATGTTTACATATGTTTATATAAACTGCTTTTGTTTGTATACAAGATCTTTAGTTTACAAAAAATCAAAAGTTATGACTCAATTCATTTAAATTTATTCAGTTCATGCAATCAAGCATATATATGTATGTATTTATGAATATATATATATATATAAATATATATATGTATGTATGTATAGTCCCTTTTGCTAATCAACCGTATATAATTGTTTTTTATTTTTGTTATAAATATGTATATATATATATATATATACATTTTTTTTTTTCGTCTTGTGTGTCACTTTCAATAACAGCTAAGATATGCAATAACAAAAAAGAAAAAACAACAAAAAATAAAATACAAATAAAGCAAAATGCCAGAAATGAAAACAGTGCCTCAAGTTTTTTTTTTTTTTTGTGGCAACAAATTCAACTAAAAACACTAATTATTTGAATATTTGCATTACAAGAATTATTGCTTTGACCTAACAGAGGTGCCGCTGTTAAGGCGCTGTTAGCACGCTGTTAACGTTATTTTGTTGTCTTTTGCTGTTTTTGTTGTTTTGTGACTATTTGACTAACACATGAAAATACATATATATATATATGTATATATATATATGTGTGTGGTATTTTGTCAGCTCATACATAGACCGGCGCCTGATCATCGGTCATGTCCGGCTGTTGTCTGTCATCGAAGAATCGTCTAAAGGTAAATTCGAAAAATCCATGGAATTGCCGATCATTGAGATCGATATCATCGCCGCTGCTCAAATTCGAGTCGTTCGAGCGCAACTTATCCGGATCCACCGGATCAAAATTGGATGTGTCCGTTGGATGCTTAATTTCCGGTATATATGGCGCCTTCTGTTTGCGCATATCCGCAAAATCGATGCCCTTGAAGAACTCATGACCCTTGACCTCATCGACACTCTTCCCCAGCCGCTTGTCGGCAGAGGCGCACAGCCGTCGGATGAGATCCATTGCCTCCATGGACAGCTGCGCCTGCGGCGGTATATGCAACGTCTTCTCCCAGTTTATGACCTGCATTTGAAAACATACTTTAGATATTGATTCACTTCAATGTGTTATTTCAGCTTAGCAGTCAAATCTCAACTCAAATCTGGCAATTTTAAGCTTAGCTGTAAAATCATTGCACAAATCTTCGATTTGATTTTTCACAAACTGTAACTCAAATTGATACCTTTTGCTGTGTCTCCATGGGACTGTTGGCCAGGAATGGGGGCTGACCCACCAGCATCTCGTAGAGAATGACGCCAACGCTCCAGTAATCGCACAACTGCGTATATCCGCTCCTCTCGAGCACCTCGGGCGCTATATAGTTGGGTGTGCCGACCAGCGAATGCGCCAGCACTCTTTGATGATCCCGCATGCGACGCCTAATCAAAGCGAGTACAAATAGCATTAGCGAAAATAATATTTAAGAAGATTGTGGCTTATGGATTTGAATCACCTTTCCAGCACTGTGGGCTTTGGACCATTCTCCGAATTATCCTCCCACGGCTCCATGGAGTCCTGCCTCGAGTGATTGCCTAGCAAATAGAATGAGTTAATCTCAAGTCGCAGTTAGATACGTGTTGAGGACTCACCATTCTCTTGATAGTATTTGGAGTTGTGCGTCCATCTGAAGCCGGTGCATAATCCAAAATCGGTCAGCTTTATGTGTCCGTCCCGGTCAATGAGTATGTTGTCAGGCTTGATGTCCCTGCATAGAATAATGTTGATATTCAAATTTAAAGTCTATCTAAGCAATAAATATATAAATAACACAATTAGTATTCAAATTTGTAGCTCTAGCTAGATGATAGAAGAGAACTAACTTTTCTCATAGGCAGTCAATACTTTTAATAATAGTCAAACACATTTTTGTATTTTTCTAATTGCAAACTCCAATTTTTCTATATATTATGTAATATATACGATATTATGACTGGTATGAGGTATAAAGGTATTATATATATTTAGATTGCCGATGGAAAGAGACTAAATAATTCAACGATTAATAGACAGATTGCTAGAGATTTTAGATAAGAAAACAGATTAAGAAGTCTCGACTAGTAGATACTCTGCACCCAGTTGTTGAATACATTGTAGACTTTTTCTTATTGGATCTTACTGAAATTATTGCAGCTAATTAATAATATATCTGGCTATACAAAATATATATCAATGGAAAGCCTTTATCTTTATAACTGCATAATTATCAGAAATCAATTTGTATCTATATTTGCAGTTAACGGTTAAATTAAATAAACTATATTAATAGTTTATGATAGACGGACATGGCTTAATCGTATCGAGATTGATCGAGAACATATATACTTTTTGTAGTCAAAGATGCAACAACTTTGCACAACTTCTAAACAAAATAAATGATTGCTCAAAGCACAGACAAACTCTTATCTTATAATTACCATATCTTATGGCTACTACTTAAGATCAAAGATCAAGCGAAAAGTCAGCTCTGCCATATATAAAGATTATGTTAGTTCTTAACTGATATTTATAAATAGCTTATATTATTATCTTAACAATAACAACCAACGATGTGATATCAGCTAAAATCAGCTCCAACATAAATTCTAAATAGTAATTGGGGGGCAGTCATCGCACCTGTGAATGAAGCCCATTTTGTGGACACTGTCGACGGCGCAGGTGACCTCCGCAATGTAGAAGCGGGCGAGCGGTTCCTCAAAGATGCCCAGCTTGATCAGCAGCGACATCAGATCGCCGCCTGTAAAATAAGAATGATTATTATACAATTTTGTATATACATATTTATATCTATATATATATTGAGTGATACCTGGTATGTAGTCCATGACGAAATATAAATTATCCTTATCCTGAAAACTATAGTAGAGCTTGACAACCCAATTGTTGTCGGCCTCGGCCAGAATATCACGTTCGGCTTTCACATGAGCCACCTGATTGCGCTTGAGGACGTCTGCCTTGCGGAGCGTCTTCATCGCATACAAATGATTCGAGGTGTCTATTTTGCGGACCAGGGTCACCTCACCAAAGGCACCAACACCGATCGGTTTGATTTTGACAAACATGCTCTTGTCCATTTTGGCGCGCTTGAGCCGAATATAATTGGACTCCTTCTGGTTGAGCATTTTACGCATCTCGATTTGTGTCTCATCCGAGAGACCCACTTTCAACATCTCCTTTTCGAGCTGATTCTTGCGGAAGGTGCGCTGACGATAGGATTTGATAACGTTCTCAATGTGCTGCTCCATAAAGAACTTGAAGGCTTGCGGTGAATATTGTCGTATTCGAAACTCTTTGCGCTCCTCCTCCTTCTCCTTGGATATCTTCTTGCGCTCCGGTATGGGCGAGGCGTGTTTGATCTTTTTGCAAGCGACAACAGCTGCGGCAGCAGCAGCAGCAGCAGCAGCAGCAGCTGTTGCATTTGTCGTTGAACCATTGCTGCCACTTGAACTGTTGCCACCGCCCATGCCAATTCCGCTGTATTTGGCTGGTGGAATTGGTGGCGTTGTCGCCAAATTGCTGTTGCTGATTTGTATGTTGTTGTTGATGCTTGCGGGTTGTTGTTTGAGTTCAGATTGCAGGTTGCTGTTGTTGTTGTTATTGTTGCTCATGTTGCTGATGATGCTGTTGCCATTGTTGCTGATGGACAACTCGGGCGTGGTGACACGCGCACTCTGATACGGCGGCGGCGGTGGCAGCTGCCGATTCGCATTCCCATTGCTGCCACCAACGGGCAGTGACTGAAAAAGAAAACAAAACAATATATATAAAAAGTGTGAGTTGAGTTGTGGAATAAAGAATACATTTAAAGGAACACTTTTTCCATTTTGTACACATTTAAATTATTATTGCTATTTATTCTGCACCCTTCAGATTCTATAGCTTAAATCCTGCTCGATTGCTTGACGGGTTGAGCATTTCTTTGTTTCCCTTAGATACTTTCTGGTATTTGCTATGCTTTCAGCATTCTCTCTCATTATCATCAAATCGGAAGAGTTCGCTGCGAAGTGACTTCTTTGTCTAGAATGTCCTCTCAAGAGACCGATAAGTATTCCAAGTCTGTTCTTTGCCATAGATATTACTTGTCTATTTTGCTGCCTTGTTCGTATTCTACAAAATGATTCTCTACGGATTCCCCCTTCCGCGATTTAGTTCGCTGCTAAAAATACCCAGTTTAGATAGGCGACTTCTTAGTCTACAATGTCCTGTCAGTCGACCGTTGAGTATCCTAAGCTGGGATTAAGCACCCTCTGCTCTTCCTGAGAAGTGCTGGACAGGAGCGAAAGAAGTGTCCAGGAGCTTAATGGTTATTCCTCTTCTTTACAGTTTCTGCTGAAATTAGTTACCTTTTGTTGTTGCTGTTGTTGTTGCTGCTGCTGCTGGAGTTGTTGCTGTTGTTGCTGATGTTGCAATTGTTGCTGTTGCTGCTGTGCTTGCAGCGCTCGCAATTGTTGCTGCTGCAACTGCTGCTGCTGCTGCTGCAACTGTTGCTGCTGCTGTTGTTGCTGCTGCTGCTGCTGTTGCTGCTGTTGCTGCTGTAGCTGTTGTGGCTGTGGCGTTGTTGTTGCCGCCTTGGCCTGCATGCTCTTCGCATACGACGGTGGCTCCATGCAACCAACCACTTTGCCAACACCACTGCCAGCACCACCATTGAGCAGCGGCGGCGTTGTTGGCGTCGGTGGCTTCACCGCTCCCGCAATGACAACAACTGGCACATGTTGCTGGGCTGCTGCCGCCGCTTGCTGTTGCTGCTGCACCACCGCCGCCGACTTCTGTGGATAGGATGGCGGTGCAGCCAGCACATGCACCGGCGAATTACTCGCCGAAGCACTCACGGGCGATTGGGGCGCAACAGCTGTTTGAAGTACGGGCTTCTGCACCTGGGTGGACTTGACGCTCTGCATAATGATGGGTGGCTGGGTGCGTGTCTGATAGACGCGTGGCTGAGGCCTGGCCACGCCCACGCCTGTGCCACTGCTACTAACCGTAATGGGACTGGGTGACCCGGCCGAGTTGGCCGAATAGATGCCACTGCTGGGTGACTTGCGGTAATCGGATTGCTGCGATTGCGTCGGCGATTGACGGGATTGCATTGAGGCCGTGTAGCTGGGCGGTGGTGGTGGTGGTGCTGCAGCTGCTCCTCCTCCTGTTGCACTCACCACCACCGTATTGATGAGATAGGGTGGCGGTGGCTCAACAGCAGCACCGCTCACTGCACCACTCGGATACATGCTGAGCGCCTTTAGCTGCTGGCTGAGCTGCTGCTGCTGGCTGAGTTGCTGCTGCTGTTGTTGTTGCAACTGTTGTTGCTGCTGCTGCTGCTGTTGCTGCTGCTTGTTGTTGCCATTTTGTGCTATGCTCGGCGAGGTGCAGCTGGGCGCAATTGCCGCTGGGCGATTCAGGGCCGGTGAGCGTCGCTTGAATATCGACTGATTGGTGGGCGGCGGTGGCGGTGGCGTCGCCGAGCTGCCCAGCTGTGGATTGCGTGGCGGTGGCGCCGGCGGCGTTGCATCACTAAAACTGCTCGGCGACGGTGAATATTGGCCAGTGCTCGTCCTGCCACTCATCGGCTGATGGCTGTGCGAATGTGGACTGTCCGAACGGGAACTGCCAGCGCCGGAATCCAAGGCGGGACTGCAGCGTAAATAGTGCGTTGGCGTCTCCCGCTCGATGCTTGGTTTGCGTATCAATTTGGGCGGCATCAGCGCATTGATCATCTTTGGCACATGACCATTGGCAACGGCATTGGCAACTCCCTGCTGCACCTGCACCTGCACCTGACCCTGCTGTTGCAGCTGCCCCTGCTGCTGCTGTTGAGCTGCAACCAGCTGGGGCACAACAGCATTAGCAGTGGCCACATCCGGCGAGGGGGATGAGGCTGAGGCCAGCGGCGATGATTCCAGGGGCAGCTGCTTGGCATGGTGGTAATCGGTGCCGTCGTTCCGTCCATTGGCGGCCGTATATCGCAGTGTGTAATTCTGCAACGCAAGAAATCGATAAGTTATCGAACAATTCCAATTTCCATAAACTATCAACTATATTTATTATTTATTACAGTGTATGTTGTTTTACTAAATATTGATCGATATTCTACATTTAATTATTAGAAGTATCGATATCCGTAAGAAAACACACAGCAGCAAACCTAAATTCCAATTATAAATCACCCCCCACCACACACACACAGATTATTCACTATTGCATGGGCAGCATTCCTGCGCTGTGAGAAAATATGTTTGTGTATTCATATTGGCTTGCATCAATGTGCGTGTGTGTGTGTGTGTTTAGATTTGGTAGCAGTTCAAAAACTAAACAAAAGGCGCGCATACAAAATAAAAACAAAAGCGCGAATAGAGCCTAAAACAAAAGGCAGAAGAAACGTTGCGGCAAAAAGCAATGAAATCAAATTCTTGCCATCGTTCAGAAATTCCTAAAAGTCAGGAGCACGCACACAAACAAACAGACACACACAGTATATACAGCAAGCAGAAGAGAGCAAAACGAAAACAGGCACAACGAGCAACAGAGCGAAAGAGAGCAAAGAACAACAACAACAAAACAATCGCCGGCTGACAGATTGAAGCTAACATAAGAAGAACAGAACAAGGCAACCTTCAGTCTGTGTGTGTGTTTATTTGTGTATGTATGTGTGTGTATGCACTTTGCTGCTGCTGCTGCTGGCTACCCGTTTTACGCATTCTTTCATCATCATCATCGTCTTTCTTTTGTGACTGATCCTCGCATTTTGACATTGCATGAGTGATGGCCATAAATTTTGTGATGGCATCGTGACATGAGATCTTTACATATGCACATACATATGTAACAGGATAACAAGTCACGCACGTTCACAAAATTGCAATTTTGACAGCGCTGACTTTTAACGTCACATATCCAATGTAAATCAACTTAAATCCACACAATAACAGTTGTTTAACCTGAGATTAGTCGTTAAGTTGAGGGGAATTTGTCTTGTCGTGCAAGGGAAATTTTGTATGCATGTTATTTAACTCCGTTGCTGTGTTCATAAGTATCAGCCTGTGATGGCCGCTGTTAATTTTAACATTAAATTTAACAGATTTGAAATTGAGGAAATTCTGTTGAACCAAATTTCCCCGAATTGTTGTGTTTCAATTAATTTAATATTTCTTTTCAATTTGTATAAATTCATAGAACGTATTTATTTAAAAGTACGCATCTCTAGCAGAACTAAAAGCAGATCTCAATTTTTTTTATCTGCTGCCAGCTGCGTATTTAAACCTCAAGTGGGCGAGCGAGAGAGAGACAGAGAAAGGGAGAGCATGCGTTTGATGTTGCGGCCAACGCAGACTAATTAAAACCAAGGACGCGAAGAAACCCAACAAAAGAGTAAAAAAAATTACCCCCAGCAGACAAATCGACGACGCTTTAATGCCTGCTGCTGCTGCTTCTTCTTCTCCGTTTGCTTATTCTGCTTCTGCTTATTCTGCACGATTTACATGCACAAAACAATTAACGACGAAATTAGTTGAACCGTTAAATAGCCCCCCCCCCCCCCCCCCCCTACAATTCCTTGCGCACAAATTGCAAATAAAATAAATTGGATTTGCGGTAGGCAAACAAAAATAAGAAAACACTTTCGCTAATCCATTTGAAATGAAGACCCACAAACAATGGCGCCACATTTTGTGGCACTTATCACCTTGACCGAAATAACTTTGAACCTGACAAAAACAAATATAAGAAAATATATAAATATAAATATGTATTTCTATAAGCATATTTTTGCTGGCGATAAACCGATAAAAACAATACACGAGGCAATGAGAGCCCAAATTTTGGATTTATTTATTTTCATTTTTAATTTTGGGATTTTCTTGGTCTATGCAAAGACACACACACACACACAGATACAGACACATAGGAAAATACATCAAAATTCTTGGCAACTGGCAAATACAAAAATATATATATAAATATTTGCTTATAGTTTTTTTTTGCGTAGGAAGGGAGGGGGTGGGGGAGAGATGCTGCGCGAAGGCATTTCAAACATTTGTTTTTGTTTTATTTGTATTTTGTGTTCTTGCTGTCTTTTGTTATTATTAGAGAGAGATTCGGGCAAATGTTAATTTTTGGCAATTTTGTTGCTGAAAATTATATACATATTTATATATATATATATATATATATATATATATATATTTATATATGTACTTATTTCATTTAGTTGCAAATTCCTCGCAAAATTGCGACAAATTAAATTAAATGAAAATTTAAGCGCATTTGGGAAACGTTCTAAAAATAAATACAATGGGAAATTCTTGGGAATTTTATAATTAGAAGCCTAATCGGATTTGATCTCTCATTGGAGGTGCACTATTAAAAAGAAATAATATGTTTAATAGGCAAAACTAGCTAGAATTGGCTAGGCGAGAGAAAGCTCGACGAGGAGATACCCTGCAGATTGAACTTAATATTGGTTCATAGAAAAATATTTTTTTTAGTAAAATTTGCACAGTTGATTATTAATATTTCTGGGTACATTTTATACCAATTGGAAGGTTAAATCTTTACAATTGTTTCTTTTATGGCTTTCGAAAATATATTTGTATAGATATACGCGTAACGGTTGCAGTTAACGATAAAATTAAATAAGCTTGATCTGCTTTTGGTAAAGGAGAACTTATATTCCCCTTTTTTTTAGCTTTAAATTAAGTTTTACAAGTGGTGCGCATACTTTTAGCACAGCTGTGTGCGATTTATAAATAGCTAGTGTTTTCTTGTTTTTTTTTTTATATGACAAGCAATTAGGGCTCTAAAGCCAAATTACACATGTATTTTGACGAGTGTATTGATAAAGAAAAAAGGTGTTGAATTGTGTGTGTGGGTAGAGTGAGGGGGAGAGGGGAAATTTGATTGTTTGATTGCCTTTTGTGTGTTGACTAATTTATTTATTCATATTTCGCTTCTTATTTTGTTGTTGATTTTTTGTGTCTCGCATTTTGTTTTTATCTTTAAAATGCCATTTAAGCCCACTGCCTAGTTTTGCTATTATTATTTATTTAGCGTTGGCGTTAGCTGTAAATTTTAATCGAACGTTTTGTCATTTTAATTAGTTGCAGCCTCAGTTTTATTTATTTTTTATTTAATCATATTTGGGCAGAACTCGTGCTGCTTCGACTGGTTCGTGTCTCTGCTATTTATAGCAGTGTCAAAGCGATGATCGTTGAATGGTAGCCGCCAAAGCAGCTGTGGGCGTTAAAAAAGTGTTTAAAGCGAACCATGAATAAATTGTAAATTGTTTTATTTATCGCATCGCTTTTTTTATTATTGGACTGCCCACATTTGGACTATGACTATAGTCGCAGCCTGCTATATTTGAGCAGATTATGCTTGGGTATTTTCGCATTTTAGGCAGGCCACGTGGCTAAGAGCCAGAAGTTGGCTAAAAAGCCGACAGCTGACATGGAAAGCTGATCGAATCGAGGCTACTTCATTTTAGTTGTAACTCAATAAAAAACTAGCTTCCATTTTGGATATGAATATGCTTTTTTAATTTTATTTCAATAATAATAAAAAAAACCCTCTAAAATAGTCCACTTTGCTAACCTAATTAAATCGAAATCGATTTATTTTAATTTATTTCATCGTTTTTATTGTACACTTTTTACAAACATTATAATATAATATTGACACAGCTGATCAATATTGAACCAAGGGATATTCCTATAAAATTCTCTTCAAATTTGTGGATCTTCTTGAGATCGAAAATAGTTTTCTATTGATTTATGCAATAGTTATCGATACATTTAAATGAGAAGTTATCGAGTTTTAAGTTTGTAGTTAAGTATATAGTTTCTCGACTGCCTTTTATTGCTAACAGAAATCGAAGATTATGGCTATGTAGTATCTGTTGACTTTTATTGCTATCGTTAATCGATTTGTATTGAGCGAAGTATATTGAAGCCTGAGAAGTTATCGATAATATAAGAGTTCTTTATTTCAGGCAATCAAAATCTTAAATTCTAGTTTTTTATGTTGCGAAATGCTATTTATATCTACTGGTATTTATTCTTATATATCTCTGAAAAAATATCACATGTAAGTCTTTTTATCCAAAAATTAAACTGAATCAAAGTTAAGAATCTGAGCATGATCAAAGCTGGCTTAAAGAGCCAACTGCCTGGCCGTGGCTGCTTCACAACAATTTGCCGCACAGCATCCCCGTCAGCAACATATTTTTATGAGCCAAAAAAAAAAACGAAAAAAATGTATAAAAAAAAAACCTGCATTAACAACAAACAACTCGACTGCATTTGTTGGTCGGCTTAGCCTCAGGAATGTTGGCTAATCGAATGGATCGCTCGCCCGACCATAATTTACAATCGCACAAGCAAACAGCAAACGGCAAACAGTAGCTGAGTAGCTGGCTGCCTGGTGGAATCGTAAAATTTTAAATTAATGACCCGTCAGATCATATTTAAACGTTTTTATGAGCTAGCTGCCTGTCCACAGTCCACACAATCCACACTCCACACACACACACAGACAGAGCCTGCCTCGGGGCGAGGCACAAACAAAATCGATAAACCAACCAAAATGCCAAACACTGTTTATAAATGATTATTTGCCAAAGTTGTTGTTGTTGTTGCCCCAAATTGAAAATTGCATTTCAACGCCTGTCCGCGCGTCTGTGTAATAAATTAATATTATTCCTAATGCTACTAATACTATTGTTAATTCTACAACTAATGCTACTACTAATTTCAGAAGTTATCGATAAAATCAATTTAAATTCAACTGTTTTACTACTACTTCTGCCTCTAATCCTTCTACTACTGATAATTTTCCTATTGACTATAATAGACTTTATCGTGTAATCAATTCAAAGTCCTCTATTTTTATCATTAGCAACGCAATTATCATCTACAAATGTATTGTATTGATATCAGTTGGCATTAAATAAATAAATACTACTAACACTTATTCTACTAATTCCAATTATGCTTCTACTAATATTTTTATTATTAGGATTTAAACACTACTATTTATACTTAAACCTACTACTACAACTTCTACTGCTATATTTGCTAATAACCACATCAACTATTAGGTCTACTACTATATCCTATTCCTAGTGCTACTAGTTACTACTTATTCTACTACTACTACTGCGTACCACTTTGTTATCACATACTGCAACTACTTTCAATTCTAATACTATAACTAGTAGTTGTAATACTAAACCTACTTCTATTGATAGTACTATTTCTACTACAAATACTACATATTCTACTACACCTACTATTACTACCACAAATACTTATATTTCTTCTAAAAATACTGTTACTACTTATACCTATAATCTAATATGCTCGTGTTGTACTTTTACTACTATTACTGATTATTACATTCTACTTTTCTACTACTGTTTGCTACTTCTTCTACAAGTAAAATTCCCTATCAATTTTCTGTGCAGCTCTCAGCTTTTGACAGCTGTGACGTCAATGCATTCATTCGCATTCAAAGCGATCGCGTGCATACACACACATACATACGCGCTCACTCACTCACGCATAGTGAATAGAGAGAGTGCGAGAGTGAAAAATGTAGCTGGACATTTTGTCTGGCAGCTTGTAGCAGTGAGCAATGAAAGAGAGCCGCCCACACAATTTTGTCTTATAACAGAAGTATATAATATATACATGTTATGTGTGAGTGTGTGTGAAATGGCAGAAGGTCAATTGCATTTCGTTGGCGGTTCATTAATTTCATTTTAAGCTGTTATATTTATATGTTTAGCACAAAAACAAACACTCACATATACAAAAAATACACACAAACCCACACACATTTCATTGACCAACAAAATGTTAATTTAATTGCCAACTCCTGTTCAAAATGGCCGCCCACACACACAAAACAGCTGATTGTGACAAATGTCATTGATGTCTTATTAACAGTTAGTCTGCAGGTGAAACAACAACAATAACAGCTACAACAACAAAAACTTGGCTCGTGCCATCAGCAGGTGAACATGTTTTTTTTCTTCGCCCACGCTTTTGATTTGTTTTATTGTGTTTCCACTTTTTTCTGAGACGCGCGACATGCGTTTTATCTAGTTGTTAATTTTTTTGGTTTCTTTTTATTATGTTGGTTGTCGTATTTTGTGGGTTTTCTTTCTCTTTCTCATATTTTTTCTGCATCATTTGTAAAGCATTAAAGCAAGCTGATAAATTGTTGTTGTCTTTTTCTTTTATGTTAAAATTATGCTGTTGTTCTTTCTACTTAACAGCCTTGTAATATATGTTTTGGAAATATTTGTTAGTGTTTCTTCCATAGTTTTTTGATTGGATTTTTTTTTCTGTGAATGAATCATCAATGAAAATTTCATTGTGAAAATGAGAGATAATCAGTTTTTACATAAGTCGTGTTTTTTATTAAACTCAATTTTTTCCTTGCATTTCCCCAACTACAAATGTTAATTCGATTGGTAATCGATTTTCGCCTATCGATTTTTAATTGCATTGTGATCACGACAATAATTACATACATATAATAGCAATTTGTATGTGTTTGTTTGCATTCAGTCATTTGCTAATTGCTATGTAACTTTGGAATATCTTTTGCTGCTGTTTTTCTTTGTGTTTATTTTATTTGTTGAACATCATTTTCATATATGTATATATTTTATTGAAACTCACCTGATTATTTTTATGATTATTTTGTACTTCGAATCGTGTTAGATCCTGTTTAATGCTCTCGAGTGCTTTCGCTGTGTATTTATCATTGGGGCGACCCCTTTTTTCGCCCGCTGGATGCATTTTTATGCTGCTGCTGCTGCTTCTTCTTCTCCTTGTGATATTTAGCACTCATATCACACTACACACACGCACGCACACACACACACACGAATACACGACGACGTAAACACACACACACACACACACACGCACACAAATACGCACACACACACTCACTCACAAACAGTCAGCAGCCGTTCTTATATTTTTTGGGGGTTATTTCTGTATGTGTGCGTGTGTGTGTGAGAAGCTCTTATTTCGACTTGTGCTTCTTTTGCTTTGAGCTGCTTTTCTTGTTTGTTGTTGTTGTATTTTAGGCACTTTTTTAACTACTTACTAGCTTTGCTTAAAGCCAAGTAAGCTGTTGTTTTTTTTAGGTGTTTTGATTCGTTTATTTTTTATTCTTCACAAATGCCATTTAATTTGCATTAGAATAAAAACATTTTTTTCTGTCACAAATTCCATTTTATAAGTATATATTTATAAAATTAAACAAATATATATATATGTATATATATACATATATATGTATAAATTAAATAATATTCGTAGAGATTTTTCTACGTTTTGTCAAGTTTGAATTTTTGCTATCACATTTTATGCTGCAGCCATTTTTTTTATATTATTATTTCTTTTTCTTAGTTTTATCACAAATATTTTTCGTCACTATCATTTTGAGCGCACAAAATACAATAAATATTTTTTACTCGAACACTCGATGAATGAATTTTTCAATATTTGCATATAAATTTTTTTTTATTTTTTTGCTTGATTTGCTTTTTGTTTGTTGTATTTTAGCCGAGGCTCGACGGAATTTTAATTAATTTAATACACGAATCGAAGTCGGATTTGCTTCGATTTGCTGAAAATAGACACAAAACAGAGACAAAAATTACTAAAAGTGGAAAGAGAAAAAAAAACAAACTAAAGTGTTTGAAGAAAGCGTACACGCTCTTAAATATCCTGTAAAACTTAAAAAAAACTGAATTCATTTTTAAATTTATTTATAATATTTATAAAAAATTAAAAATGAATAAATTATTATGTTTCATTTATAATTTCTTAATTCTTTACAAATCGCTCTCTGTAAATTTTTGATTTATATCTGCTATTTAAAAATCCTTCTTCCCTCTTGCAAAATGTATTTGCATTTATAATTTCCAATTTTCTTTTATCAGTATCCTAAATCCTTCCAATTCTCTCTTTGCTTTATTTTCAATGCATTTATACTTTTCAATTTTCTTTTATACCCACTTCACTTTAAGAATCTTTCCATTTTTAATGCATTTCTAATTTTGAATTCTCTTTCCCTAACTTTAAAGATCCTCGCTGGAAAAAATTGTTCCAAATCTATTGCCTAAGCAGAGTTCTCCTTCCAGTTGCTTAGATCAATTGGCTCATTCAAAATATGTGTTTCACATAGCACATTCCAGTTGCTCATTCAAATCTCATTCTCCAGTTACATCAATTTTGTTACTCATGCCCCGTTATCAATTTGAATTAAAAACAGGGTATACAAAAAAATTGTCACACGCTACGCAGACGCGCGACGCGTTTTAAACTTGTACATCACTCATGCACACACACACAACAGTGCTCATTTACATGCCAAAGACGTGAGTCAGAAGAGAATACAAGAATTCTGTTATTTATGTTGTTGTTTTTGCTGCTGTTAAACATTCTGTTACAGTTTTCGCATTTGGAAATGAAACATACACATTATAATGAATGGAATGTTGATTGGAAAAGTAAAACAGAATCTGTCTCTTTCTCTCTTGCACATGTGCTCATAATTTATGCGTCGCTTGACGCATTATGTCATGGAAATATTCTTGGAAGCGTGTAAATTCCATCAAAATCATTAAATTCCAAATCGATTGCGAATCAGCAGCGCAAAGGCAAAGGGAAAAGGAGGATTTAACACGCGCACCTGACGATAAAAATGAGAAAGAGATACACAAAAATATATGTGTAAACAAACAGGCGAAAAACGACGAAAAAAAAACCTAAAAACAATTCGTCGAATTGTGCCAAGTGTAAATAAGCAAACTGAATAGCAATTGCAGCTAAACATAAAACTATTTACATATAAATATGGATATACGAGAGAAACAGAGACAGCATGGCAAAAAAAAAATACATAAAAAGATAACATTTTTTCAAGTTAAGCTTAAAATGTTGAGTAATATTAATGTAATTTACTCATTGGCTGTTAGCGTAACATAGTTATGATACCAACAGGTCGAAGGATATTTTGATAAATGTTAATGTAATATTAGGATTATTAACAATAGATTGAGGACATTTAATTCCAGTCTAATTGCCATTTGCGATTCATCCAATGAAATTATATTTTTTTCTACATACTTGCATATATAGGATATAAAGAGAAACAGAGACAACATCCTAAATAAATCTAGACAATGAAATAACATATTTTAAGTTTAAGGTTTTAATATTATTTTATTTGGAATTGGCTGTTAGCATAACTTAGCAATTTTAGCAACAAAACGAAGCACATTTTTTTCCATGTTTTACTACTACCTTTTACCATAACATAGCAATGTTAGCAACACAGGGACATTTTCGGCATACCATGGAATTTAACAATTTTTTTTCGACACTTTTAAACGTGTTTTCAAAGTTGAAGAATGCATTAAAAATGAGTTCGGCACACAAAATATGACATAAACATAGCAATGCTCATAAATTTCGCGCTTGTTTACAGACACACACACATATATCTACATAGATATATTTGCTAAATAAAAGAGTTTAATTATTTTGTTGACAAAAATTTGACTTTTGCGCTCTGTTTCTTTCTGCTTAGATGAGAAGAGCTCTGGAATGTTAAATACAGACACATATATACATACAAACATATGTAAGCTTGTGCATATGTGTGTGTGTGTTGTGTGAGATAAGAGCGAGACTGGAAGGTGCTTTTGGGATAATAAACGATAAAAACGAACACGCGCCAAATCCAAATGTCAACAAAGAAAGAAGAAAAATACCCTCAACCCCCACCCCCAAACCACAATCCAATTTGGAACATTTTTTTTTGCACATTCCTCAAGAGTATTTTTTGTTGTAAACATTTTAACCAATAACTAATTAACAGTACAAATATGTACAACCCACACGCACGCACACACACACACACACACACGAAGAGAGAGAGTAATTTTTGATGCTCGTTGAATGTGAGACGCTATTGGAATTTTTAATTATTTAATTGCGGCCAACTTGAAAGACAATTTGCCGCATTTCACGTAATTTTTTTTTATGAGCTATTAAAATTCAAATGTTTTTATTTGTGTGTAAATCAAAAATTGCAACATCAAATTTGTAGTCAAAATACACGATGGACATTTTAACAGCTGCTACCTCTGTTAAGTTGTATGTTAATTTGAACAGCAATGTAAAGAGTTCCTTTTAGTTTATGTATGTAAATCAAAAATTTGCAACATAAAATTAACAGTCAAAATAAAGAGGACATTTTTACGCTGCTGCTGCCTCTGCTAATTTAACAGCACATGTAAGAGTTCTATTTATAATCTGTTTGTGTATGTGTGTGGGAGTTAGTCGCGTGCGCATGTAAAAAATCCTAAGAAATTGGCCATCAAAATGCACAAGGCAAGAAGTAAGCAAGCAAGCAGCTCTCTCTCTCTCGCACACACACTCTCACTTACACGCACACACCAAGACAGACGGCAGATAAAAATAGTATTTGTTGCTGATTATTATTGCAAAAAATGCGCATTCCACGGCGACTTATCCCCAACAAGGCGGCTGCTGTTGTTGTTGTTGCTGTTTGTTTTCGTTTCGTTTTCCCTTTTTTCAACGCAAGGCAGCCGCAGCAGCAGAAGAAGCGGAGGAAGACGGAGCAAAAAAATTGAAGCAAGAGAAGCAAGAAAAACGAGCTAAATTGCATTTTCGTCGTCGTCGATTGCAACTTGCAGCAAACAGTGGCGTCTGGCAAAAAAGGGGTGTCAAATCTCTGTGCTCTATCTCTCTCTCTCTCCCTCTCGCTCTCTAGCCCAGCCAGCCCCCGTTGCCTTGCGCCCTCTTTTGGACAGGCAAGAAAACAACATAAACTAGCCTGGCCACACCACAAGGCCTGGTCACTTTTTATCGTTCATTTACTTTTCAAAAGCAACAGCAACAGCAGCAACAGAGATGGTGCGTACTGTTCATTTGAACTAGTCACTAAAATTAACTAGATTTATAACTGTAGTTCAGTTCGTTGGTCCATTTTGATATTTTTTATTATTAGTTATATATTTTTCAATCGAATTAGTTACTAATTTGAACCAAATTAACCCGATATTTTTTTCATTCATTTGAGTTAATTTTTATCGTTTGATCACTTTTTTACAGAAGCAACAGCGATGCTACGTGCTGTTCACTTGAACTTGTCGTTCATTTCGATTTAAAAAGCAAAGATGTTTATTAGAACTAGTGACTAAAATTTACGAAATTATCTAGATATATACACCTCATTGCAGTTCATTTCGTTCATTCATTCCCTTATCAAAAAGAACAGTGCACTATATTTATTTGAGTTGCTACGCATTGTTCTTTCGAACTAGTCGCTAAACTGAACTAGTTATAGCCATTATAAAAGTTCATTTTGTTCGTTCATTTGAGTCACATTTCAAAACAGTTAAATATATTAGAAATGTTATGCATTTGAACTAGGCCCTAAAATAAACAAGTTACATCCCTAAAAGGTACATCTATCTGCATTGCTTAGCGTTTTGCAACACTTTTTATATAGTAAACGATTTTTTTGCTTTGCAATATTTGAACTACAAAACTTCATCAATTGAACTGCAATGCGCAACTCTGCTGTGCATATGTGTACTGATATGTATATAAATATATATATATACATAGATATATATATATATATATATATATGTTTTTGGAATGCACACGATCACACACACATAGAGACGTCGCCTCACCTGTTTAGTCGCTGCCTGCTTGCGACGGCGCAGCCCACAATAACAGCAGCAGCATTAACAGCACTCACACACACAACACACATGCATACAGAGGCAATAATCCAGTACGAATTGCATGCTGGAATGTGAATGGAATCTCAACAATTTTCAGCGTCGCTGACGATGACGCCGTCAACGGACGAACGCGCAACTTTTTGCACGTCAAGCAAAAGCAAGAAAAAAAAATAAATAAAAAGCGCAGAAAAAAAATCAATAAAAATAAATCACGAATTAGAAACGAAAAAAAATATGTATTTAATTGCAACATTTAGATAGCAATGATGTAAAATATATATAAACATGTTTAAACATGCATGTTTGTCAGACTCTCAAAAACCAAAATAAACATAAGCTGCTTGGGAAATTATTGTCGCACTGACATTGAAGCGCATTTTTCACAGCTGTCGCTGATGCCTCTAATTACAAACACTGTTTTTGTTATTGTTTCTTTTTTTGCAGTTACTTGTGTCACATTTTGCATCTCTGATATTGTTTGTGTTTGGCTGTTCAGCTATCAAAATAATAATTACTACAGGGGAAATACAAATTTCCCTAGCAAAAAAAGCTAATTCTAGTTGTTTAATAGCCAAAGTGGCAGCATTGATTTTAATTTTTTCATATAGAAAAAAAATACGGCCACATCGAATATAGTTTTTTTCTTTCTTATTTTGCAGTTACTTGTGCCACATTTTTACAATTCCATGGGCAATACGGGTATTTTGCTTAGCAAAAAATAATGTTAACTACTTAATTATAAAAAATAATTCCCAAGATAAACGCTATTTCTAGCCAAAATGCCAGCCTTGATTTTTATTTTGCCAAGCAGAAAAAAAACAAATACAGCCACTGCTGTTTTTTTAGCTTTTGATGTCACAAGTTGCATAAATTGCTCTGGATAAATAATGCAGTGATTTTTATTCTTTTTATTTGCATTAACAAAGATAAAAATTGTTCAACATTATTTTGTTTGATTATATTTTGCGTAATTAAATGTTTATCTGTATTTATTATGACAGCTTGTTCATTTAGACAAAAATAAAACCATAACAATAAGTTATCCAATTTGGGTTAAGAATCTGTAATTTAATAGAATATCAAAAATGATTTCAAATTGATATATTTCTGTTAATCGATAATAAATTCACCCAATAAAAGGAATATCCCTAATATGTGGTTGTTTTTCTTTTGCATTGCTTTGCTTTGATTTTTCGTATGTCAATTACAAAATGTATCGGGACTAATTTTGACACCTAAATTATAACGGGGCAATTAAACAGGCAGATGGCAGGACAAATCAGGGGCGCGAAAGCGAGATAGATGGAGAGAGGCGGGAGCAGCTATAATTATACACATACACACAATGCGAGTGAGGGGGAAAGGAAGAAGGGCGCAACAGTTGCAGCTGAAGAATTTAATCCGATTTTGTTGTTGCGAAAGGGGTGCGAGGGGAGGGGCGGAAACAAATTGAGTTAGGAAAAGCAACACACAACACTCACAGTGGAAGAGATATATGTAAATACGCATTTGGCATTTTTATATATGTATTTTTTTGGACTTTTCTTTGTAGATTTTCTTGGATTTTTTTTCGTTTTTCGTTTTTTTTTAGAAAGAGAAACAGAGCCAACGAGCACAATTGGAAATACACATACATACACGGCACACACACATGACACACACATATGCACATATGCACACATGCACACACACATATACACTAACTCACACACACGCACGCATTTCGTGAATTTTCGTTTAGTAAAAACACACGTCTCCCGCACGTTTTGCGTGTGGATTTGTTGCGTTTTCCATTCGATTTACCTTTACGCGTTTGGTTTTTACACTTTTCACAAATTTTCTCTCCACCTCCACGCGCTGCGTTGTTTTAATTAATAATAATAGATGGGCGATAGATTGTGTGGCGGTTGAGCGATAGACAGCCAATGCCTCGTGGTGGCCGGCTGATAACTAAATTGACAGGCTTGCAATAAGTTATGTTATCAATTGGGTTGAGATAGATTGGCAGCACTGTTTCGCACACAACAAGAAGCTGAGTGCCACGAGAGAAGTGTTTCATTTGGCGGGCATGTAATTTGTTTGAATTTTAATTGTTTTACAATGCAATGAAATTATTTGTATACAGCAATCATTTTGCATATTACATTATGCATAATGCACAATATTTCGATTATAATTAATTTAGTACTTTTGATTCATAAGAAATACCAACAGCATATGTTGCTCTTCCTTTACGTGGTCACACTGTTCTGGAAATGACAGTATTTAAATATGAATTTTTCGATCAATGATTAAAAATTACAACTTCCACCATATACATATAGGCATATCTAAATAACTCCAACCTTATTAGCTTAATCTTACTTATTTATTGAAATGTTTGATTAGTCAGAGGTGATTATTTTTTCGCTACTTTACAGTTGGTCACACTGGCCGCACTGTTAGCAGTTCTCTGCGCGCACTTTAGCTGAGTGGTTGCTCGGACGGTCGACAGACTATATTGTTTGCGGCTCTCTTTTTGTGTGTTGTTCGCTCTTCTTTTGTTAACAAATAAAAGAGTCAATTTGAAAAGTGAGCGAATTTATCAAAAATCGTGAAAATCGTGTTTAATCGGTAAACCCTTTATATTTACACATATTGCATTTTTTGTGTACATGTATGTGTGTGTATGCAGGTGTGAGATGGCGAAAATCAATAACAAAGCAAAGTAAATAAAACGCAGGCGAAAAGTGCATACGACGAAGAAGAAGCAGAAGAGCGGCCCAAAAGTGTATACGTTCTATGCATGTGTGAGTGTGTGTGTATGTGTGTGGACTAAGAAAGCAAGCAGCTTCAGGCTAGGCTCAGGAGCTTGTGTTGTTGTTGTTGGTGTTGTTGCAGACAGCAAATAAATACGTGACGTGAATTTGTTAAGTGCGCCGTTATTGTTTCTGTTGTTGCCGTCACTGTTTCGCTTGCACTCTTGCATCTCTTGTATATATGCATATATTATGTATGTATGTATATTTTATGTATATATGTATATATTTTAATTTATTCCAATTCTGGTTCTGCAGCAACGAATAAGGTCAAAATAAAACACGCAAAAAGCGTTATTAATTCCGAGTATTCTTTTTAAATCGACTCTGTGTGCGTGTGTGTAAATAAAAGATACGCGCGTGATTCATACCTGAGAAATACACTGGAAATTGCTGCTTTTGTTGTTGTTGCTGCTGCTGGTGACGTCCATTGAACTGACGACGTCGACTGCGACGCAATTGCTTCCTGGCAAAACGACGACGACGAACAACGACGACGACGCCAACGTCGCCAACAGAATGGATAAAAGTAAGTAGCAAGAAGTAGAAGAAAAAAGTGCACGAAAAATTCACAAAAAAAAACACAATAACTGAATTTCGTGCAGCGGCTTCGGCTGCGGCTGCTTCTGTTATCAGTGTTGACAGGATAAATGTTTAAAAGCTAGAAAAGGCTATAAGGGATGAGTTTCTGTTGTGTTTGTTTTTTAAATATAAACAAAATAATAAATAAACGAAAAACATAAAATATATTTTAAAATATTATTTAATTTTATGTTTCAAACGTTTATATTTTCTGCAGACAAACTTTTTACTTCAAAAAATCGAGCTTAAAAAAAGAAGCTATTTCCAATAATATCTGCAAAACCAACTTCATTTTCTTAATGGATAGAATAGACAGATTACTGGCCAGCTTTTAATGGGCTAAAAGGGACAAAACATTTCAGTTTATGCTGCTATTATTAGTGTTGCCAGCATAAGGAATAAAAAATGCTTAACAGCCAGAAAGGGCTAAAAGAGGTGAATTTCCAGTTGCTGAAAAATTGTTGATTATTATTTGTGAAAACTGTGTTGTTATTAAGAGTATTTATGTAAATCTTAATAAAATGAATAAAAACTATCTAAAATATATGAAAATGATTCACTTAATAAAAAATCGACAGCTTAAATTAATTAAAAGCTATATTCAATAAAGGCTTAAAACACTAGTCAAATCTTCTTATTGAAACAGCTGGTATTCTGGCCAGCTTTTAAAAGGCTAAAAAGGACAACACTCTTCAGCTGCCGCTGATGCTGTTAGCTAGTTTTTTTTTAGGGTGGGTTATATCTATGCGTTTTGGATTTCTTTTCGCTTTCCGTTTTGCTCACGCATTCGCATTGTTGGGTGTGTCTTCGATGGGTGGGGTGGGGGAGGTGGGTTAACATTTCTGTTGTTGTTGTCGAGCCCAAGGACATTTTAACAGCAATATGTTTTTTTTTTTGCTTATTGAATCAGAATTGTAGCTTTCCATTTACGGTACTTTTCCAAGCTGACTCTACTTGACTTTTTTGGTTGGATTTTCGCAAGAGCTTCTCAAAAAAAGAAAAACAAAATCATAATTAAAGAATAAAGCATTAAAACCGGTTTTACAGTTGACTCTTTGTTTATTTGTTGTTTGTTAAATGGGAATTCGTTTGATGATTTCATTTTTTTCCTGTTCTATTTTTGTTGTGGATTAAGTGGGAAATATAATGTGAAGTTTGTAAAGACAAAAGATTTAAAACAGAAACCAAAAAAAAGTAAAAAAAGAATAGAATAGAATGGCAGAAAAATGTGTTACGGAATTGTTAAAGCCGTAAAATCAAATTTAATTTAAATATTCATGAGATAACTTAAAAGTAGAGAAAAAACAGTTGAAATATAAATAAATAATTCGCATTAAAATTTATAGTAAAAGTATAATAATAAGTAAAATAATATTTCAAAATATGTATACATATAAAAAATATATGTTATGAAATATAAACTTAAAGTTTTTAAAAAAAGGAAAATGTATCTCACAATTCCACCTCTTCTCAGGTATTTTAAGCAAAGCACGAAATTTTATATAAAATATTTAGAATATTACAGTATATGATGTAATTGTGACTGTGCAGATGTAGTTTTTTCCACAAAACTTGTCTTTTTTCATTCTGGAACATGTTTTCATAACACTAATAAATTTTAAGAAACTATCGTTCCAGAATCTTATCGTCTGTCGACTATCAGTAAATATATCAAGAGTTTCCCAATTGTATCGTCTATCGATGCTGCATTCTATCTACAGTTATTTAACTCTTTACATTTACGAACACTATCGACTATCGATTACCGAATATTGATAGTTATCTACCTCTACCTATGCATGTTGGAAAAGTATCTAGTATCGAGAGCTTCCCAACCATGTTGTATTTCAATAACACCGACTATCAATATAAAAACTATTAACTATGATTATAGAGAGTTTCTCAAATATATTGCCTATAGTTGTCCACCTCTCGTTGGTTCTTCGTTGCATCCTTTCACTGTGCAAAATGTCGTTGGGTTTTTCCCCTTTTGAGGAAGTCCAAGTCCATAACTGATAAGAACCTAAAAGTCACAGACCATGTAATATTCATAAATCTATTGTTTGATTTCTTTGTGACACACACACACAAAGACAACACACACACAAACATGGGTGTTGTTGTTGATGGGCTGATAATATAGCTGATTGGTTGGTTGGCTGCATATATATTCATTTTCATTTTCATTTCACTTCCCCCTCCTTTGTGTTTCTTTATGTGTCTCTCTCTATCTCTCTGCTGATAATGATGATTTCTTTTGATGAGCAATTTGAGGCACACACACACACACACACACAACACACACAATGGAGCACTTCATCGCCGTGAATTGTTTTTTTTTTTTGTGTCTTGGGTCGCATTTGCATTGAGCACAAAAGATGCCAAAGCTTTTTCTTTAAGTGACTCCATTTTTTGGAAAAGGAAAAGTGCAAAATAATAATAAAACACAAAAGTCTATTGACCAACAGGAAATAGTTTTTGTTATTGTTGCTGTTGATTTATTTTACTTTTTAATGTGCATTTCATTTTGTGAAATCTTCATTTGAATATTCTTCGTTGCTTATCAGCGAGTTTTGTATAATTTTGCCTTAAAACCCTTTAAATCATGTGTGGGTGTGTCAATTGCTGTTGCCTTTTCTTTTCTTACCTGTTCTGCGTGGGCCCCTCTAAGAATTATTGCCAATGGCCTTAATACGGCGACAAGCCCAGTTTACAAACTGATCGCCCATTGCAAATGGCCAAGGGGTATAACAGACTTGTGCTAAAGTGACAGGGAGGGGGAGTATTTGCGACTCTATAAAGTATATATATTCTTGATCAACTTGAATAGCAGATTTGATTTAAATCAATCAATTTCATTTTGTAGTTGAAGATATCTTGACATAATATTGGTTATGTCTGATACTTTATGGATACTGACTCGATGACTTGCTTTAAATAGTATCGGGGCAATGGCAACGAGGTTGCCAGATAGCTTTGACAGTTACTTGTTTGCTTAAAACAGGCAACACTTTGTGGCCAGTCAGCAGCCGTGCGATGTGGTTCTCATCGCTGGCATTGATAGCAAGCGGGTGTCCGCTCATCGCTTGGTGCTCTCAGCATCGAGTGAATATTTTTTGGCCATGTTTATCGAGAGCAAGGGGCATCCAGTTGCTTGTCCAGCACTATTACACCGGAGGCACTGAGCTGCACGAGGACACTGTCGAGACTCTGCTGACCACCGCCAGCCTGTTATAGTTGACGCCTGTGATGACGACATGCTGCAATTTTCTCGCCCGCCAGGTGTACACATCCATTATTGGCGGATCAGCTGAACTGCACAGAGCTGTTCACTCTCTCGAGAGCAGAATTCTGGCTTGGTTGCTTTGTCTGCTGACTTCCTTTCGATTTGCCTTCATAATTCAACTCAAATCAGTTCCCAAATCAGTCAAATACTCACAAACGGTTGTGAGTATGATTCATCAGCCTGTGATTTATTTTTTGTACAACCAGCCAAGTGATGAATTCAAGTGTGCTGTATGCAAAATAAAGCAAATGATTCTTTGCACACAGCATTTGTTTTTGCTGAAGAACAAAAGTGTTACATTTACAGATACCTCGTGCTGAGCCTTGATATATTATTATTATTACAAAAGAGTTAAGATTCTTCATCTCAAAATAATAAAAAAAAAATCAATAGAAGAACATACATAGAACTGTGCGACTAGGAGATACCCTAAACCCAGCTGTTGATAATTTAATTTTAGATTAGTTTACTTATTGAAAAGAATTTCAGATTTCCACATATGTGGAATACTAAAACGATATATTAAAGATCAACATTTCAAAAAACTGCAGAACTTATTCTTGTGTTGATTAGTAAGAAAAAGTGTCGCTTCTCTGCTACTATCCGATACCCTGTTTTTTCTCCTCTTGTCTTTGCCAATTTGAAACTTGTACGGAGCACAACTCGTTGAAATGAGCGCGTTTTTAGTTTCCTCTGAGTGCGTTTATCTTATCAGCTACAGTTTTTTCGCGCTATCAGCTTTAGCGGCTATAATTTTTTTTATATATTTTTTTTTACAAAACTTTTATGTGGCAACTTATGGAGTTGGAAATAAATCTATTTTATTGCTCAACTTGCGAGTGGCAATGAAAAGCTAAAGAAACAAACTGTGCCAAAGTTTTGTTTGTTTGGATAAATACAAAGCTGCACTCATATCTCTCATATCTTATATTTCTCTCTGTGTATATTTATCGTGGCTGACTGATTGAAAGTCTGCTTGTTCATTTTGTGTTTACTCTTTATCAGCTCATTGTTTAGGCGTCATTAATTCTGGCTGTAAAGCAGCAAGAAATGCGGGCAAACCGTCTGCCAAGCCATATAAATACAAATACACACATCTATATACATACATATTGTATATATATATATATATACATATGCATGCATATATAGTATATCATTGAACTGATAAGCGTTTGAACTGAACTCAAGGCCTTCTCTCTTTTTCGTTTGCTTACAATAAACGTATTCAGCAATTGTCGTCAATTCTATAATTGAAAAGTCTTTTTTCTATTTCCATAGTAAATTCCACTGTTTTCTGTTTTCTGTTTTTGTTTCTGTTTTTTTTTTTTTGGCTATTGTAACTGATTACTTACCGCTCAGCTGGGGCTTGTAGAATTGCGCCTATTGGTTATTGTAATTGGATAATTGGATTGTAATAAGCAGAGGGAAAAACTACCACTACTAAAGAGTTGAACAAAAGCAGTAGAAAAGGCTTTAAGAGCTGCGGTTTTCTAATATAATTTTGCTGTGGAGTTTGGAACACATTGAAGGAGATGTCTCCGGGCCCTTAAAGTATATATACTCTTGATAAGTGTCACTAGAAGTGTGTATACAGCTATCTGCCTGCCTGAAGCAGGCCACAAGTGTAGTACTAACTTAAACTTAACTTAAAATACAAC